GGCAGTTTAGCATATCTACCATTCGGAGAGAGGCCCTTAGCCTTTGCTATTCAGGCCTTGGCCAACCAGTTTATCAGATTGGATATTTTTGTGCCGAGCAGAGTTTTGGCTCGTGTGGTTTCTCAGTCTTCTATTTATGATCGTATTAGGGAGCGCCAGTATAATGACCCACATCTGCTTATCTTTAAGGACACGGTTCAGCACGGTGATGCCGAGGTCACCATTGGAGACGATGGTGTATTACCGATGTAGGGCAGGCTTTGTGTTCCTAATGTAGATGATTTACGTGAGTTGATTCTCCAAGAGGCTCACAGTTCGCAGTACTCCATTTATCCAGGTGCCGCAAAGATGTATCAGTACTTGTGGCAGCATTATTAGTGGAGGCGGATGAAGAAGGACATAGTGGAATATATAGCTCGGTGCCTAAATTATCAGTAGGTGAAGTATAAGCATCAGCGGCTGGGCGGATTGCTTCATAAGCTAGAGATTCCAGAGTGGAAATGGGAGTGGATCACTATGGATTTCATTGTTGGGCTCCCACGGACTCAGAAGAAGTTCGATGCAGTTTGGGTAATTGTGGACAAATTGACCAAGTCAACTAATTTCATTCTTGTGGTTACTACTTACTCTTCGAAGCAGCTGGCTCAGGTTAACATTTGTGAGATTGTCAGACTTTATGGCGTGCCGATATCTATCATCTGTGATCGGGATATACAGTTTACACCGCGGTTCTAGAGAGTCATACAACATGAGTTGGGTACTCGGGTGGAGTTGAGTACAACATTTCACCCTAAGACGGACGGACAGTCCGAGCGCACTAGTCAGATATTGGAAGATATGCTTCGTGCGTGTGTCATGGATTTTGGGGGTGCTTTGGATCAGTTCTTGCCACTTGCGGAGTTTGCCTACAACAACAGTTATCAGTCGAGCATTTAGATGGCACCGCATGAGGCTTTATATGGTAGGAGGTGCCGGTCTCCCGTGGGTTGGTTCGAGCCGAACGATGCTAGGCTATTGGGTACAGACTTGGTTCAGGATGCTTTGGAAAAGGTTAAATTAATTCAGTATCGACTCCGTAAAGCCCAGTACAGACAGAAGAGTTATGCAAATTGAAAGGTTTGAGACGTTGCATTCATGGTTAGTGAGCGGGTCTTGCTTCGGGTTTCACCCATGAAGGGTGTTATGAGGTTTGGAAAGAAGGGCAAGTTGAGCCCTAGGTATATCGGGCCTTTTGAAATTCTTGAGAGGGTTGGAGAGGTGGCTTACTGACTTGCACTACCACCTAGTCTGCCAGCAGTTCATCTAGTATTACATGTTTCCATGCTCCGGAAGTATCACGACGATCTGTCTCATGTGTTAGACTTCAATGTAGTCCAGTTGGACAAATACCTATCTTATGTTGAGGAGCCAGTGGCCATTTTGGGCAGGCAGGTTCGAACATTGAGGTCAAAGAATGTTGCTTCAGTAAAGGTTCAGTGGAGGGTTCATCCGGTCGAGGAGGCGACTTGGGAGACAGAGCATGATATGTGCAGCCGTTATCCTCATCTTTTTGCCATTTCATGTATGTCTCTATACTCGTTTGAGGACGAACGTTTGTTTTAAGAGGGGGAGGATGTAACGACCCGGTCGGTCATTTTGAGAGTAGTAGCCCCAAACCCCTACTTATTTCTCCCTCAATTTCATTTTGTGGTTACATAATATGCTGGTAGGATTTGTTTTTGGTTTCGGAGTATTACGGGACACGTAGTCCCTAAAACAGAAGTCTAAGTCGTAGGAATTAACAGTAGTTCTAATTGTGTGAAGACGATTCTGGAATGGAGTTTCGATGGTTCCAATAGCTCTGTGGGGTAATCTTGGTCTTAGGAGCATGTTCAGATGTTGAATTGGAGGTCCGTAGGTCATTTTAGCGTGCAAAAGTTAGAAAATTGGATAATTTTTGGGAAGTTTGACCGGGGAGTTGACTTTATGATATCGGGGTCGGAATTCGATTTTGGAAATATGAATAGGTCTATTATGTCATTTATGACTTGTGTGCAAAATTTGAGGTCAATCGGACATGATTTGATAGGTTTCGGCATTGAATGTAGAAGTTGGAATTTCCTTAGTTTCAATAGGCTTGAATCGGGGTGTAATTCGTGTTTTTGAAGTTGTTTTATGTGATTTGAGGGCTCGACTAAGTTTGTATCGTGTTTTAGGACTCATTGGTATGTTTGGTTGAGGTCCCGCGGTCCTGGAGCACAGATGCAGGCCTGGGGGATTTTAGTGATTTTCGCAGAAGTAAAGGATTTATCACAGAAGCGGTTCCGCAGCTGCGGATATTTGGTCGCATGTGCGAAAAGCCTGGGCAGATTATTAAAATAAAGGTTCGTGATTTTAGCTTCATTTCAAACATTTCAAGCACGCTTTAGGCGATTCTTGAGGGGGTTTTCGAGGGGATTCTTGAGGTAAGTCCCTTGTGCTCATTTTTTTATCAATAATCTTTCTTTCCCATTGATTTTTCCCCCTAGTTGGTGTGTATTTAAGGTGTAAATTGAGAGTTTGAGACTAGGGATTTGGAGAGTTTGATNAGCACGTATTGATTATATCAAATTATTTCATGATAGATTCGAGGCATTCGGAGTAGAGATTTGCTCGGATTGAGATAAGTAACAGTTCTAAATTTGGTTCAAAGGGCATGAGACCTCGGATTATGTGTCATGTGATTGGTTTTGAGGTGACGCACATGCTAGGTGACGGGCGTGTGGGTGTACACCTTAAAAATTAGGACTTGGTCCATTCCATGGAACTGTATAGATGATTAATCTGTTGATATCTGTAAATTCTCCGTATGTTATAGAAATTGAGTTGCAATCATGTTAGAAATCATGATCATGCCATGTGTTGGTACTAAAGGGACCCTCAGAGGTCGTGTACATATTAATCTATTTGCTAAATTGTTGTGTTGTACTCAGTCTCCATTTTACTTGCATGGCATATCTTAGTCTCTATTGTTTTTTGTTGATACATTATATCGTTTCTGTTTGGGCTGATTTATCATGATTACTGAGAGCCCGAGAGACTGGAGAGATTGATGATTGAGTTAAGACTAGGGCCTGATTGTAAGATATTATACTTTAGCACGTGAGTTGTCAGTGTATCACGTGAGTTGTCCGTGCAGCACGTGAGTTGTCCGTGCAGCACGTCAGTTATCTGTGTAGCACGTGAGTTGTCTGTGCAGATCCAGATATTACTATAGCACGTGAGTTGCCCGTGCAGCACGTGAGTTGTCCGTGCAACACGTGAGTTGTCTGTGCGGATTATAGCGCTTGGGCTGAAGGAGCCCCTCTGGTGTCTGCACACACCCCTAGTGAGCGCAGGTACCTACTGAGTGCGAGTGCCGAGTGCTGATTGACTGTGGCCCTGAGAGGATGCATTTGATTTCATTATTGTTGCCCTTAGCTGCCATGTATCACTGTCTTGAAATTTCTGAAAATATTACACTATGTTTCACTTAAACTTGTCATGGATTAACTGTTTGACCTAATTTATCGAACTTGAGAGCATGCCTACTTTCCTATGTTGAATCCACTGTTATTGAATTATAACTGTGAAGCTCGTCACTACTTTCAATTCTTTATTTAGTCTTTTTAGTTACTGAGTTAGTTGTACTCACGCTACACCCTACACCTTGTGTGCAGACCCATGTGCTTCCGGTCGTGGCGGTCGCTGAGTTGCGGAGTTCGGATTCTCGGAGACTATCGAGGTAGCTGTTTGGCATTTCGCAGACCTTGTTTCTCCTTCCCTATCTTTCCACTTGTTATATTATGTTTCATATTATCACAGATGGTATTTTCCAAACTTGTTATGTATAGATGCTCATGTACTCTGTGACACTCCGGTGGTTGGGATCTTTCGCATTGTATTTTGGGTTTCTATCCCGTTTATGAAATCTTTATTGTTTAACTGCTTTAATTCGATTTCTGTTAATAGTATTGGAAATATTTCAGATGTCGGCTTTCCTAGTACCACGATAGGCGTCTTCACGACAGGATAGGATTTTGGGTTATAACATCGTTGGTGGGTGGAACCACTCAATGACTATGATTGTTCCACTTGATATCATTATGGAAATGTCAATATTTTGGCTGATGCATTAAGCAGAAAATCTATGGGCAGTTTAGAATATATAGTTCTGCCAAACAGACCTTTGGCTAAAACTATACAGAGACTAAAGGGTACGTGTATCAAATTTAGTATAGAGAATGTAGAGATATTGTTGACTTGTGCTAAAGCTAAGGCTTCACTAGTAGAGCACATAAAGCAAGGATATGACTATTGATGGTGATGGTATATTTTTCGATTAGGTATCTTGTTATGTATACTAAATATAGATGGGTTAAGACGAGTTATTCTTGAATATTAAGGAGCTCACCACTCTAGATACACTGTACAGGATTTCAATAAGATGTACCACGACTAGAAGAAAATTTTATTTGTGAGAAAGGAAAAAAGAAAGATTTCTTTAACTTATTTCTGACTATTTTACTTGTTAGCGTGTCAAGGTATGCATTTGCAACTTGCAGGACCCCTACAACAGCTCGAGATTCCAAAGTAGAAATTGAATAAAACTATAGTGAAATTTATGACAGAACTACTAAAATAATTAGAGGTTATGATTATATTTTAAAATTTGTAACTTGGTTATATAGTTGGTACATTTCTTTCTAGTCAAAATTTCTTATAATGAGGTGTGATATGTTGTCGACGATAATCTTAAAAAGGGAGTGTTCTTCTCTTTGAACTTGTTGACGCGTCATCAGGGGCAGTGATCTACTTTGTGGAAGTGCAATGAACCTCTAATGATTAGCTTTTTAGATGTGCTTTTATTGACATATAGTGTAATACCCCCATAATTTAAATGAGGACATAATGGTCATTTAGTAAAATCAATTAAAAATAATAATAAAGAGCAATGAATGGGCCGTTGCTCAGCTGGATAAAAGGAATGAACTAGGGTAGTGGAGAACTTTATCTCCAAATATGAGGAATCTGAAAGAAGGAAAACTGAGAAGAAGCCAAAAAAAAAACTCTGCAACAGAAATATTTACTATCATATTCAGAAAGCATTGCAAGGAAATTAAAAGGGAATAGGGTCCTTCTAGCAACAAGTTTTACAAGGGAACAAGAAGAGGAATAAAACCTCGATTTAGTGTACATGTACACAGCAAAATTCACGCAGTGAATAAAAGAAAGAGGTAACAGTGTATTATTAGTTTTACTTAAATATTAATATTAAATATATGATCATTGACTTGAGTTAAATTGTGATACTAGGATTAATGTTGGTATTTAATTAAAATGAGTATTATATATAAATTATTTTATTATGATAAATTTAATTAATTGATGAACGTTCCATGAACTAGGGAAGAAAGAATTGCGGAGAGGTGTTAGATAAGGTCATGGGTGGCCTAACTAAGGTTATTGCGAATGGAACCAAGAGGAATTAATAGAACCCGAGTATGTTGGTACTTCACGAAGTTACTTAGACTAGTCTTTGTGATACAATAGATTGATCGAAGAAGTCGTATAGACTGCTCGAGTTGACACGCTTGGTATTTAGACACGAGTACCGTGAGTAGTAACCTTACCGCAATTTGTGTTTTCATAACTTGCATGATTTACACATGATTTTAATATGAACATATTACTGACTGTTTTGAATTTGCATGCGGAACAAGTCTTTTTCTTGATATGATACCGCTATATTTATTTGAGATGATTACAGTTAATTTGTATGTTCTCATGGTTACTGAATATGTTTTACCGTTGCTTGAGATAATATTTAATATTATCAAAATGAAAATACATGATTTGATAAGAATTGAAATGCCATGCACTATTTTAAAATGCTTTCTTATGAATATTTACTGGTTACAAGGAAAAGAATAAATGGCAGGAGACTATGAATGATTCCGTAGCTAACGACGGGTTCGTTATACCTGGTGCACCTTGTATATACAGATCACATATTACGATTATAGCCCTTGCTAGTGGGAAGGTAAAACTAGCATAGAATTATAGTTTTTCCTCGAGTAGGGACCTACAGTTATATTCGACACTTTTTACGAAGGGATCCAACAGATTACATAATCCTTTCTTAGAAACCTCCCAAACATAATATTTGATATGACAATATTCACAGAGTTTATTATTAAATTGTTAATAGGTTCCTGCTTACATGAAAACAGACAAGATTGATGTTTGTTACCGATTCGGAAAAGAGCATTTATTTCATGATATTTTCTGATTATTATACAAGCATGTTTTCTGACTTGTCCCCACTAAAAACGGTTGTTCTTAAGTTTTATTACTCACTAAGCTAGCGTCTCACTCCTTACTATTTTTTTTTTACAGAAACTGCAGGTGATGTTGGTGAGGATTTTGATAACTAGAGCGCTCGAGGTGACAAATTCTGGTGAGCCCCGCATTGCTTCGCGTGGGCTAGAAGTTATTTGTTTTCTATCTTACTTTTCTTTCAAAAACTCGTAGAGTCACTCTGTTAGTCATTTTTATTAGTCTCATGAGTATTCTCGTAATATTAAAGACTTGTGACTAGTATTAGATGTCCTTCTCGTACTTTAGAGATGGTTTTAGTATTATTATGTTAAAAATGGTGGCCTGGGGATGATTGCGTTTTGTTGGGTTGATATTGGTTATATCTATTGTTGATTTTGAGAATAGAAAATTTTTGAATTTTCTTAAATACAGGGAAAACTCTCCCCGATTTTTTGTAAATTCATGTTAAGGCTTGCTTTGGGAACCTACCCCTTAGTGCCGGTCATAGCCTAAATTGGGTCGTGACATATGGTGACTGTGTTCTTCCCTTTTTATTCAAATGCATCAAAGAAGTATTGTAAAGACATATGTTTTGGATTAATATGATTTTTCCTTATAATATTTCCAGAGATTCTTTCTTGGATATATCTTATTGTTATATTTGTTTATTTATTTATTTTATGAAATCTGCTCAAATGTAAAAAGGACTATTTAAACTGAAAATTATCTTATACATTTAGTATAAAAAATGACTAAAACTGAAAACTTTTCATTGCGCAAGTCTTGTTTGTTATTTAAATGTATGGCTAACTCAAGTTTCAGATTTAGTGTATGAAGATATTTGCCACCATAAGGCAGAATTAATATTAAGAAAAAGTGTGTTTCTATAAGCTCTGAATTCCATATCGTAACTATATTGTTTAGGGTTTAGACCTTTCGTTTGGGAAGTTGCCTACTGTTTGGAACTGTTTGATCTTCCCTATTACCTCCTGGAAATCGAAATTAATTTGATCTTAGAGAAGTGAAAAAATCTACGCGAAGAACCAAAAATTGTATTTACTACAAAGTTTTGAAGATCGAATTAATTAATTACAACTCAACAACCACCCTAGAGTCTATTGATACCTATCTCCTCTATATTCGAACGATTAAGTACTTATCTAAGCGAAGGAACTACATATAAATAATTCTATTGATACGTACTTCATCCTTAAATCATCACATTTTTAGATTTGGATCACCTCCTGTACATAATCTCTCCATTTCCATCAATACACATTTAATTTAATGACACTTGTCATTTTTCGGATCTAAGGGCCAAGGTTTATTTAGAGTAAATCTTGGTTAAACTAAGAATATTTAGTTTAACCAAGATTTACTCTAAATAAATCTTGGCCCTTAGATCCGAAAAATAACAAGTGTCATTAAATTAAATGTGCATTGATGGAAATAGAAAGATTCTGTACAGGAGGTGAGCCAAATCCCACATTTTTAGTGTGTGGTATCTAAGTTTGATTATAATCTTTTTTTTAAAAAACATTTTCCAGGTTGATTGGGGGTGTTATATTATCTGAAATAGAGTACAAGAGGGGGGCTTGACCTTACCTCAATAATACAACACAAGGATAAGGTTCTTATCCTTCAAAAAAGGAGCAGTAAAGAGGACTTATTATGCTCTGCTCTAATCCAAAAAAAGTCAACTTACAAAGAAATTTGCCCTGTCATGTTTAAGTCTTATGCATGGCAATTAGCTTTTGTCCAGATGATATGGGCCTTTGACACCTGTAGGAAGTTGCTGAAATGAGTAATAAAAGGAGCCAACATCACTAGTAGAACCAATTTTGGCTAATTGATCGGCTACTTTGTTTGCTTCCCTAAAACAGTGGCGAGTTTTGACATTAATATGGTTCAATATTTGTAAGATTTCATCAATGATCTTGTTTATTTTATAATTGTTCGCTCTCTTACTAGTGATCATATGAGTAACAGTTTAGGAGTCTAGTTCCAGGATGAACTCTCTGTAGCCATTCCTGATGCACCAATCAGACCCAAACTTGGTAGCTTGTGCTTCTGCAATCATATTATTGTTGCATAGAATGGGGAAAGAGAATGCCATTATGAGATCTCCCTTATCATTCCTGCTAGTGATCATTTGTGTTCAACTTTATAGACCCATGTTCAGAAAGATTCGAGCAAACAGTTGTACGCCGAGGAATAGGCTTCAATTTGATCATTTCTTCACAAAAGGAGATCCGGGGTAATGTCAACTTACATGTAGGAAATGCCTTAGCCAAGGCAGTTTGAATCATCCAGCTAATTGTTTGAACCATTTTGAATAAATTAAAGTTTTTCTTATCACCAAACTTGCAATCGCATCTTTGTTTCTAAATTTCCCAGCAAATAATAACCGGGAGAATTTGAACAATAAGTTTATGAACATCATTAACGGTCTTATGTTGCCACCACGAGTTTATCAAACTCCTGATAGTGCCTTGATGATATTTGATCCCCAATGGACCACCAAATAGCATCCAAATGAAATTAGCCGCTTCACCTTTCACAAACACATGTAGCATAGATTCTGCGTCTCGATTTCTGCAACAATTACATCTTGAAACTGCTTGATTTCCAAACTTAGTGGTAACTTCATCAATGGGTAACTTTCCCTGCTATAGTCTCCATGTAAGGAAAGAGAACTTGAAAGGGATTGAATTGTGACAAACTTTGTGAAGAAAATGATTTTTAGGATTGCAACTTCTAATCTGCTGCCATGCCGATTTATTGTTGTATTTTCCATTGTCTGTAAGATCCCAATAGACTTGGTCTTTAAGGTCTTGTCTTCCAATGTCAATAGTTTCAATGTGCTTTACCAGGTGATCTGGAAGAGTTTCTAGAACTTTTCAAGATTCCATTTTCCACTAACCATGAAGTGCTTGACCCAAGTCTTCGTGCTTTTGGTAGTTTGAGGGACCGCCGCTGCTAAAGGATCTTTGCCCGTCCAATTATCCCACCAGAAGCTACATGTGCCGAAGTTCACTTGCCAAACCATAAAACTTTCGGCCTTTGTTCTTACTTGTGTCAAACTCTTCCACAAATGGGAATTTCCTGAAACCCATACCTTAGAGGTAGGATGAGCTCTAGTACAGTACTTGTGCTTCACAAAGGTCGCCCATAGTGATTGTATTGATCGGAATCTCCACCATCCTTTAGTAGCCAATGCCTCACTGAATTCCTGCATACTCCTCACCCCTACCCCTCCTTCATCTGTAGGATAGCATAGATTTATCCATGAACTCCAATGATATTTCTTTTGATCCCCGGTGGAGCCCCAGAAGAAATTGGAGAAGTGTTTCTCTAGAAGTTTAAAAGTTCCCTTTGGCGGAGATAAAGCACTCAGAGTGTAGGTCGGTAATGCTTGGAGGACATGTTTTATCAGAACCACCTCCATGAGACAACATTCTACCCTTCCAGCTTCTTAATAACTTTCTGAGCCATATTTTCAAAGTATTCTATTTTCTTTCTCCCTACATAAATTGGGCACCCCAATTATGTAAACGAGAAGTCTTTATCCATGACGTATGTGCAGTCTCTAATTCTGTTAATTCTTGTAGCTCATGTCTTTGGTGCAGTTAGAAAGAAACATTTTTCTTTATTGACCATTTGTCCTGAACTTTGTTCATACTTCTTAATTTGATGCATTATTAGCTTGATGGATCTGTGACTCCCACTGCTAAAAATTACAATATCATCTGCATAAGCCAAATGGTTAATTAGTGGACCATTAAGTGACATAGAGAAAGGAATAAAGTTATCATAACTGTGAAGCATATTTAGAGATCTTGATAGTACTTCAGCAGCTATAATAAATAAGGATGGGGATAAAGGGCCTCCCTGTTTCAAACCCTGTGAGGATGTAAAGAAGCTAGTTCTTATTCCATTAACAATGATAGAATACCAACTATTAGAAATGAGCCTCAGAATCATATCAACCCAATCTTCTGAGAAGCCAAATTTTTGTAATACAGAAGTTACAAAATGCGAGGACATTCTATCATATGTCTTGTCCATGTCCAATTTGATCACAACATTGCCACCCGTATTTGGTTGAGAAATAGAGTGAATAATCTCCTGGGCCAGTTGCACGTTCTCTGTAATCAACCTATCTTTGACAAACCCACTTTGGTTCTCGGAGATCAAGCTAGGGAGGAGAGGATTAAGCCTCAAAGCCAGAATTTTAGATATAACTTTGTTGGTAAAGTTTGTGAGACTGATGGGTCTAAATTCTGAGAAACTGGAGGGAGTATCAACTTTTGGAATTAGAACCAAATATGAGTGGGAAAAGAACTTGGTGAGAGGTTTTCCCCGAAAGAATTTCATAACAAAAGCAATGATATCATATTTAATAATATCCCAACAAGATTGAAAAAAAGTTCCATTATAGCCATCTGGACCAGCAGAGCTCTCTGCACTCAAGCTAAAAATTGTATTTTTAATCTCATCTTCTGTTGGAAGGACAATAAGATTGATATTGTCTTCCTTAGACACACAACTAGGGATACAATCTAGAATAGAGCTGTTAAGAACGGGTTTGGGGAGATTGAAGAGAGCTTCAAAATATTTGATAGCAACTTTTTTAATCTTATCCTCCTTCTGGATCCATTTCCCCGTATGATTATTTATTCTGTGGAGATGAAGCCTTCTTCTTTTTGCTCTTAAAATACTATAAAAATAACTGGTGTTTGTGTCTCCATCTTCAAACCATTTTACCTGAGTCTTCTGCTTTAGAAGGGCCTCTTGTAAACCTAGCCACTTAACATATTCAACATGAATTTTGTTAGCGTCACCCCTTCCATGGTTTGTGTTATTATCAATGTCTAATTCCTCCAATACCTGGATCTTCTCTTCCCATATCATGACCTGTTGGTGTATGTCCCATATGTCCTGCTTGGACCATTGGCTTAGCCTCCTGCTAAGTGCTTTTAATTTGGACTGGAGTCTCCACATAGAGTTTTCATGGATAGGAGAATCCCAAACCTCCTTAACAATATCAAAGAATCCTGGAATTTTTATCCAACAATTCAAAAACTTGAAGTAATTAATGTTGTTGTGGTCGCTATCATAGCTCTTCATAAGGAGAGGTCGATGGTCTGAGCCAGTTCTGACCAAGTGCCTTACAATATTATTCTGGAACTTCTGAGCCCAAAGATCATTAATACAAATTCTATCAAGCCTTTTCCATATTCACTTTCTAGGCCTTATGTTATTACACCAAGTGTATTTTGGGCCAGTGAATCCTAAATCTGTGACACCACAGTTGTTAAGGCAATTAACAAACTCCAAGCTTCTATATATCTTATGAGGTTTGCCTCCTAGTTTTTCCCCCGGATCAGCTATGACATTGAAATCACCACATATACACCAAGGGCTATTAATAGACATGCTAATATTCTCCAGACTATCCTAGAGATCTTTTCTGACTGCTAATGTACATTTGGCATATACTGCAAAAATAAAGATATTAGACTTGTCAAAACCCTCATTAAATTTGATAGTAATATGTTGGTCCTCATTAACAATGATAGTAGTGTTTAGATGGTTTTTCCAGAAATATCATATCTGACCATTGGTATTAGATATGCATTCTTGAAATCCCAAGAAATTCCTGTAGCCATCTATTTTATCCTTTGAAATAAAGGGTTCAAAGATTGCTACAAACTGGGCGTTGTTTATGTCTATTAAATGTTTGAGCCTGTGAATGGTTTTCTTGGACCTAACTCCTCTGATGTTCCAGTAGATTGCTTTAATCATGAATAACTTGTGGTGAATTCCCACTTTTTATTTTGTTCTCGAAGAAGGTCTTGTTTTTTTTTGTTCCTCTTTCCATTTTTTCTTGTTTCACTTCTTCCTCTCATTTGTGTAGAGTCGCTTTCCTTAGTAATGTCTTCTTTGAGGATAGGATGTGGCTCTATATGCAATCTATCTTGCAATCCTTCAGTTTTGTGTACAGGTGACTGCACACTATATTCTTGTATTTCATTTCTAGCTTTTAAAATTTTACTCTGCACCTCATTGGCATTTAGGTCAACTACGAGTTATATTCCTGGTTGCTCTTTTATGTATGTAGGCAAGCTTGAGGAGTCGGAGCTAAATGCTAGTAGATCGTTTCCCTCCATTTGAACTTTTTGGTTTTGATTTCCTTGATCCTTTTGACTGACTTCTTCATTTGTATCTGAAACATGTGCGACTTCTTTTGGTTGACTGAATTGTTCCTCTATGTTCTTTTCCACTACCTCTTTGCTTCCAGCATTGCTCGATGTTCCTTCCAGATTTTTGTTTTACTTGAAGTCCTCTATTTCCTTACTGTCCCCTTTGCTTTCTTCATTTATACTCTTATGTTGTGTTTGAGGTCTTGTAATGGTCTTTTTAGTTATTCTCCTGCTACTTTCATGTGCTAGAACTGGTTTAAATACTACTTTACTCTTCTTTTTTGGCATTTTCTTAACCTTCTTCTTTTTCTTTTTTCCTTTCAGCCTGGTTACCATAGCAGGCACCTCATCCTTGTTTGCTATTTCCACCTGTGTAGTCTTAGATTCATTGTTTTATTCCTTACTGTTTGTAGCATCCTTTTTCTTCTCTTCATTTTATTTATCAAATTCCTCTTTTTCACTTATGATTTGTTGTCCTCCCTTACTTCCATCATTTTGTCTCGCATTAGTTCCCCTAGCTTCTATTATATTTTTCCCATTCATAGTTTCATCCCCTTCTTCTCTTTTCACCATTTTTCTACATTGCACTATGGAGTGCCCTAGGAGTTTGCAATGTCTACAATACTTAGGCATACTCTCATACTCTAATCTCTGAGTAAAGCCTTTCAATGGATTTGATTCATCTTCTGAACCCACCCAAACTAAATTAAGCTTTGGTTTGGTGAGATCTACCTCGACTCGGACCTTCGCTATACTTGATCTAGTCTTGTGATAAGTGGCCAGGTACATTGAGAGAGGTGCTCCAATAGGGGGACACTATTTGCTTAACGTAATGCCATGCGTGGCAATGAAATGGTAACTCAGGGAGAAGCACCCATACAGGAACTATGGGTGAGTCCTCCTCCGGCTTGAAATCCGGTGTCCGTTTCTCCACCACATAGGTTGGCCTTCGATTTCAATAGATCTTCTGTACCACACACTCTTGCTGTCATCTTCATTTGAGAAATCAAGAAAGACTGTATGATAATCATACACCCCAATCTTGGCATTACCTTTGACTGTGATTTTCTCCGCAGACTTAGATCGTATTTTTTCTAACTGAGGTCGGGTTCTTAGAAACTTACCTACAATTGTGAGCCTACATTCCTCAGCCATGACTCCATAGTAGTCAGAAGCTTTAAAGATGACTGTCGGCATCCCATTATGTGTGGAATAACGAGCTTTGACCTCTGGGTTGCCGTAGCGATTTGCACAAGGGCCCGGAATCGTCGAAGATTTCAGAGCTACAACATAGTTCGATGTTGATGGAATTCCTTCTTCATGTGTTGTCTTCTCCACTGGAGGTTTCATTATCTCTGAAGGGCGCGCCGGATTTTGGCCGGTCAGTGTCTCCATAAGACGGTGCGTGTGCACCAGACGCCCAGATGAGGGGAAATAGTTACCATTGTAGAAGTGTTAAGAAACTTAGCTAGGACTCTTTTGAAAATCAAGCTCTTAAGTGCTTATTATAATCTTCATAATTAAAATATCAAATAATAGGGAAATAAAGGAACAATAGAAACAAAATACAATTTGAGGGAAATTCAGCTTTTGACTCTTTAAAACCTAACCCTAAATCTAAACAAAGGGTCAAATAAGTTTTAAAATCTGTATAACCTAAACCTAAATTTACTATCAGCAAAGACAGACGACAACAAATTATCACACCCCTTTTTCTACCCGCAAAATAATATTGTGTGGATTAAAGGGGTTTTTCAATTAAAGTGACAAAATTGAGTAAGGATTATTTTATTTACAGAGTCGCCACTTGGAATTGATTTTGTTGGTGTTCCAAGTCACCTTTTATTTGAATCGCTAATCAAAGGAAGATTTGACTCTATTATTATTGGTTTGCGAAAATAAAGTCCGGGTAAGGAATTCTGTTAACCGGGAAGAAGGTGTAAGGCATTCCCCGAATCCCGTGGTTCTAGCACGGTCACTTTTATTGACTTAAATTTGGCTTGAATTACTTTTGGATAAAGTGTGTATTATTTGCCTTAAGTTACTATTTTTTAGTGCTGCTTAATAATTAATAATTTTGGCCTAGGAGCGTGCAAGCACACAAAGTTCTTATTTGATTATATGAATTAAAACAAAGAACGTGTCGGTACACATGGTTTAAATACAATTAATATTGAAAAGTCAAGGAGCGGGAATACACACATGACTATTTTATTAAAAACAAAATCGATCAAGGACCGTGTATGAACACATGGTCTACATCTCAAACGTGCCTAAAATTGCCTATCGCTTAAATTAATTAAAAAGCGCTTCTTTTTTATTTATTACTTGTTCGACTGGAAAAAAATATTATTATTAAAAACAATTTTCACTAATGCAAGACATTAAACTCGGGTAAGCTTAAGCTTTCATGGTATTGGGCTACTTATTTTATTTAACAAAAGATAATTTATTGGTTTTAAAGAAAATGTCCATCTTGCTTTCTATTGTCATTGGGCCTACAAATTTTAGCTTAATTTGCCCATGTTGCTTAAGAGCCTCGATGACCAAGACAACACAAAATAACAAGTATTTTTCTAAGCCCAAATTACTTCTTACATTGATGTCCAAACTAAAAA